GATCCCAGAACCCTGGGATCATGACCTGAGCCGAAGGCAGACGCTTAACGACTGAGCCAACAGGTGCCCCAAGAATAACATTCTTTTAGGGCTGGAAAAGAGGTCATCTTAGTCTAGTGCCTTTTAATTTTGCATATGAGGCCACAGAGGCCCAAGAAAATTAGAGTTGCTCAATTTGAGTCACCAAATCTGACTTCCTGATTCTGAGTCCAGTACCAGATTTATCACACCACAGTGCCTCAGGGAACAAACTAAGTTCAAATCCAGAAGCTCTTATTAATTGGATATTTTGCCCAATAATGCCATTGGGCCAACACAGGTGAAAGGATCACCAAGAAAGATCATTAGGAAAGATACGTCAAACAGTATTATGTAAGAAGGACTAAAAAGGAAAGAGGCAAGAAGCAGGAAGCACAGATAGGAGGTTAATCTAGGTTTAGGATGACCATCTAAGGCCCAGTTGTGGGAACTGCCAAGAAATAAAAAGATTTCGAATCTCATTGCAAAAAAAAAAAAAATAGAGGGGAAAAAGGAAAAAGTTTTTACTCCATGCTTTTCAGATTATGTGCCTGGGGAAATGGTAGTGTTAGAAATAAGGGTAAGAAGCTTCAGGTGAGGTGAATTCTAAGATATCTTTCGGCTGAGGTGATGGTGGGGTGTCTGTCTATACCTGTCTTCTAGGAAGTTGGAGATACTGGCTTAGATTGATCCTGATTGAGAGGTATGGAACACATACACTGAGTGGTTAAATTAGCAGCAAGGTAAGAGCCAATGTCACCAAATGATAAAACAAAAGGGGGAGAAAAAAAACTACTGTTCAGTAAAATACTGCCCAGTTGAATGGTTGGAAAAACAGAGGTTAAGAAAGAAGTTGAATAAAAAGCAAAAGGCAAGAGGGGAGTCAGGGTAATGTTTCCTTTTAGAGTATAAATCCTTGAAATAATTGCCTATATTTGCTACCTCCAATTTTTCTTCTCCCCTTCTCTCTTAAACACACTCTTCTTGGTATTTCACTCTTACCACTCTACTGAAACTGCTCTTGTCAAGATTTCCAATGACCTCAGATATAAAACGCTATGGTCAATTCTCAGTTTTCATTTTAACTGATCCATCACCAGCATTTGACACACTTGATTACTCTCCTTGACATCCATTCTTCACTTGGCATCTAGAACACCACACTTTACTGGTCTTCTTCCTGTACAATGGCCATTCCTTCTCAATCTTGTTTGTCAGGTTCACCTAATCTCTCTGACTCTTTAAGGATGGAATTCTCTAAGGCTAAGTTATTAGACTTCTTTGGATGTAGATAAATAGATATAGATATATAGATACACACATACATGTCCAAATTTCTCTCTCCAGCTTGGACATCTTCCATAACCATCAGAATCAATGTCCAACTCTACATCTCTACTCAAATATCTTTTTTTTTAAAAAAGATTTTATTTATTTATTTGAGAGAGTAAGTGAGCAAGGGAGCACGACCAGGGGGAGAGGGAGAAGAAGACTCCTGGCTGAGCAGGGAGCCTGACGTGGGGCTCAATCCCTGGACTCCGGGATCATGACCTGAGCCGAAGGCAGACACTTAACCAACTGAGCCACCCAGGCACCCCTCTACTCAAATTTCTAACTCTGTATCTCCACTTAGATGTTTAATATACATCTCAAACTTACTATGACCAAAATTGAACTCCAGATCTTCTTCCACAAACCTACTTGACTTGCAATCTTCTCCATCTCAGGTAACAGCCACTCTATCCTTTTAGTTACTAAGACCTTAAGAGTCACACTCTTTAATCCATTTTTTTTCTCTCTTAACCCTATATCCAATTCATCATTAGATGGCAATTCCTTCCAAATATGCCTAGAATTTGATCACTTCTCCAGACTCCTACTACTCTGGTCCGAGTCAGTATCAACTCTATCTTGATGATTCCAGTAGTCTCCTAACTAATCTGTTTCTATCCTGACTCCTCTACATTCTATTCTTAAGATAGCAGACAGAATGATCCCTATTAAAATATAAATCAGAACATGTCATTCTGTTGCTCAAAACCCTTCACTGATTCCTCATTTCACTGAGTAAAAAACAATGTCCTTGGGCGCCTGGGTGGCTCAGTCGGTTAAGCGACTGCCTTCGGCTCAGGTCATGATCCTGGAGTCCCGGGATCGAGTCCCGCATCGGGCTCCCT